AGATCAGTGTCAGCCCAGCTTCGTAGCTTCACGGTTCTCTAGCTAGCTTGCACACGTGGCTTCACCTTCTACACCCGGACACAAAGCTCAGTTGTTCTAAGTGAGCGGTTTCGGTTCATCACCTCACTTGCCCATTCAGGCCTTTGACCCTTCGGCCCCACAGACGGCACCAGAAACCTGTGCAGAACTGAAATAATTTGGATGCAAATTATATGAGAGAACATCTCCATTTCTAGCCACAGACAGGTTCCCTCAGACAAGAATCTGTTTCACTGCTTAAAGACCTTTATGGTGGGACGTGCACTTCTTAACTCAGGTATAACCAGCTGTCGTGTAGATAGCAATGGCTATTATTAAAAATAGCCAAAAAAAAAAAAAATTAAAAACCCAAACTTCTGAAAGCTGCTTTTTAAAATTGTTTTGAAAAATAGAAAGTAAAAAAAAAAGGTGAGAGTCTCCTGTCGCTATAGGTGTCAAATCCCCCAAATCCTATGATACAATCAAGGCAGCTGGCCGCTCCTGGGTTTCAGAAACGGTGCTGCAACATTGGTTTTGAAATCGAGAGGGTGAGCCCATAAATGCAAACAGTTATTTCAACCTGATGCTCTCAATAATGATTTGAAGTAATATTCTCCTGACAGGACCAGAAAGCCTATAATTACATGCTTCCTCATTGCTGGCCCTGTCTGGAAGAGCAACCACCGTAATTCTGTTAGTGTTTCTGATGTAACCCAACAGCTCTTCAGAAAAATTGTAGCTCCCAGAAATTTGTCATTTTGGACCACAGAATTACACTGAAGTTGAAGAACAGAATATTAATTCCATATCTCCTAAGCCTTTCAAAAAAATTAGCATTTAAAAAACAGCCTATAGACAGCAAGGCAGTTGGCTCCTTAAGGACCGTTACATGAACACCCTTTCTTATAAATAACAAGTTGGTCACCAAGAGGGAAGTCGAGCAGTAAGGGAACATTATCCTTCCCTCTGAATTTTCTGTGTGTTCATTCAGTTGTGTCATGATTTTCATGTCTGGTATTTCTCACTTTTTAATTTATATAAACAAAATTATGTAAGTATTTACTTCAAGAAAGTACTGCGATGCTGAAAGGGCAAAGGCTTTTTGTCTTGAGAACCGATGGGACTCTAGCCAAGCCCCATGTGTAGAAACTCCCCTAGATCTGACGTCTCAAATCAGTATTTGTTTAATCAATTTCACTTGGTCTCCTCTTTCAGATATTTCACCCTGACAGTTCACTTCCCTGATACACCCCATACAAATCCAGGGTAAAATGCTCCAAGCTCTTTCAGTAGTACAAACCCCACAACAAATACAATGGCCTCTCCCAGTAAATACCTCAAAAGAGAATCCCTAAATGCAGTTTGCTTGGCAATAGCAGGTATCAGGAGTCAGGTATCGCGTGTCCGAGCTGCGCCAAACACAGCTGTTGGTGGAGGTGCTGCTTGTTAGGGCTGATAAACTAACAGCCATCCTCCGTCTTCCTGGAAGAAAAGGTCAGTACAGAGAGAGAGCCCACCACGATCCACCCAGCCCGGCTCCCGTCTACCAGTTCCGAGTAGTCCACGCATCACTGAAGTTGCACATACTACCACTGAAAACACCTCACTTAGAAGATGACATCTAGCTTGCATCCTGGTCCTGAGGTTTAATAGCTTAGGGAGAAAGAGAGAGACTTCATTTCAAGGCTCAGGATCCCTCTGGAGGACACTGGCTAACACCTCCCTTTCCTTTCCCGTCTTTCCAGGCATCTCCCTGAGTTTGGCATCTGGCTCATGAAGCCAGACGCAAAGCCCACTGGCACCGAGAGAATTTCATCCTTCAGCACATTGTCAATCAACAAGGGAACACAAACTCTTTCTGGTTTGCTTACCTTTTATGCAAAACTATACCCAGATCCAGAACGGTATGCCAGCTCTGCAGCACCATCCAACCTAAACTCAGTACTGCAGGAAAAGTCTGCGGGCTCAACTGCTGCTGAGATCCATGGAAGATGTTAGTTTCACTACCCCCAAACCTCAAATTTGACAGTAAAATCACATATACAGTCCTCGGATAGCAAAACAATGAGACTAGGATGTATTTCAAATGCTGCGTTTATTCTCCTGTAGTCTGGCGTCACAGCTGAAACCAAGAGCCACACAACTGTGGAGTCAGGAAGATATCGGCCTTCATGAACTATCATGAAGCACTCCCCGAACTACAAGCAAAGACTCACCCCTTCTGCCTCACTGCGTATTCCCCTGCCTCTTTTTTGAAGAGGTTTTTCACTGGAAAGCATCAACATTTGGAGATCGTAACTTCATGATGATCCATCTCACAGGATGAACAGACCCAAATCAAGGACATTCTTTGACATGTTGTTTCCAAACTCTACTCGTCAGTAAAAAGCCATTGCTGAAGTGAGCATTAGAGCTGCTACCTAAACTCCATTATTCAAAAAATACCAGGTTTCCAACAGAGCAGATTTTAAATAACAAGCCTTTGGTTATTATTGTGATAAAATAAATCTCCTAAACCATGTTTTACAAGCATTTTTCTACTCTCCAGTGATACTGGAAAGTGCCTGGGTTGGTTGAAGAATATGCAAACTACAGATCAGATGCCGAAATTAGGTTCAAGCAAGACCCTGTGTGCTCATTTGAGACTAAAGAGGGGCCACTACAAATTTAGGAATCAAAAACTTTCCACTTGTGAGGGCCACTCCATGGTTCCACTCCCCACCCTTCCTCCCTGTAAAGACACCCATCTGCAGCCTCTTTCTTTTCAGCTTTCTTGAGCGTGTTGCTAGAAAACTTTTATATAGACCTAAGAAGCAGATAGGCACATGAATTCTGCCCCAGAATTCACAGAGGCATGAAGCCGAATGCCTACGGACAAAGGCCAGACCCTTGTCCATGGGAAAAACACATTCCTGTCCTAAACCCCTTCAGACAACCAGCATTTAAGGCTTCTAACAACAGGCCCGTAACACCTTCGGGCAGCACAATGACATTTTAGTGGTGACGTTAGTTTGTGTATCTCCACCTTACGACCGGATCCCCTAATGCCCAAGGTAAAGCAGAGGAACCACACGCTATCTCTGAAGGCTTGCTGCCTATGGAGCTATATATAGCCCAGAAGTGGTAGGGAAATGCTTGAAGTGGAAGCCCTCAATAATCCATGACCTTGGGCAAATAATGAAGTAGGCTGGGAGAGGAGACTGGTTCTCAGCCATTCCCCACCACTAAGAAGTCTCCTCGGTAGAAAATTTAGCCATACAGGAGGAAATAATTACAAAAAGAAATACAATAGCTGTCCAGAACGTTTGAAAAAACAGCAACATGATAGCAAGAGAAAACAGTGAATTACTATCATTGCTTCCAAATGCCTTGCTAAAAATACTAATTGAAAGCGGTTGATCATACAACTTGCATGACACACATTATTCCTGATGCTAGAATTTCTGTGGAACCATTTTAGGAAGCTTATTTTTAGATGACTTAGAGAACAAAATCTAATAATAATCAATCCTATAAAGAGGAGAAAACAATACTTGCCCCGAACCTTACATATCTGATGGAGTGTGAATCTGTAGTTAAATTCCTCCTAATTGATTAAAAGAAAAGCCATGACAGCCATGACTTTATTTGCATTCCATGATTAAACATATATCATGCCTTCATTAGCAAAAATTACAGATGGGAATACAGCAGATGCCCTAAACACATCCTGCCAGAGTACTTGCCAATTAAAACTTGCTTGTATCAACTCCACCTCATACCAAATTGGCTACAAAAAACGTCATAGTCTTTTTATTGAGGCAGTTATCAGTAGTGTACTTCGAATCCTCTGTACTACGCCATCAAAAAAATTCTCTGTCTGAATCACCACTTACATTTCATAGCACTCCTGTCGGCTGCTGGGCGGATGCAGTACGTGGTACTACAATAGGGACCCAAACGATAACAAGACCTTGGTTTTGGCACTCAAGTTAGGAACCCAAGACTGACCAAACATGCAAAGAGCTATTCACTGGAACTAAACTTTCTCACCACTGCCCATAGACCATTCTTCCAATGGAACCAGTATATCCCATTTTGCAAAGAAAACGGAAGAAGTTAGGATTCCTACCCTGAAGACATTGCCAGATGGATCACAGAGGAAGGACCCACCACTGTGCAAATAATGCCTTATTTCCTATCCTGGGAAAGGACTAGAAGTATTTCTTGACCCTTACTGGGAACTAGGAGAAGTCTGGAAACTAGGAGAAGCAATTCTCTGATAAGCAAACATGACCTTGCCTGTGAAACAAAACCGAATTGCCTAATAGGGCCTCCTTGACGTTTGAAAGAACAAGTTTATTGTCACCTGCAAATGTGCTTGTCAAGGCATAAAGAAATCTCATTTTCCTACTTTTCAAGCAGTGGTAGCATTCTGAAAATATAAAACAACAGAAGAAATAAAGGCAAAGAAATTAAGAGAAAGGATCAGATATTTTTTTTTTTTAAAGAATGGACAGTTATGCTTTGAATTCTTCTGGATTTACACAGCTAAAATCTGTCCTGAGAAATTCACTGGAAAACATACAGTCCTTGTTGGCTCTTAAGACATTACTACATAGCAAATTAATAATGAAAGAGGCATATGTCACATGCTAGTGAGATTGTAACATCACATCTTTATATATTTATGGGTTCGGTGGAAATAACTGACAAAGCATGCACAGTCAGGCAACTGAGATTTTCAAAAACACTCAGTAGCCTCCCTCTGTGGGAAAGGAGTTAAGCTATCGCAGTGGAGACAGAACGGCAGTGAGTCTGAGAACCTCTGAAAGCCTGAATTCAAAGCACTAACTGGTCCTTTCTTGCGAGTGCTACGGCTTTTATATCCATTTCCCTCCTTAACAGCTACACTCATGTTCACCTAAGAAAAAAAAGAAAAGATCCAGCGCTTACATTGCAAAAGCTTCTTCCCTATTACACCGCACAACAGAGAAATGAGATTTTTGCTTTGTAGAATACCTTTACCTCTATTGCTGATTACCAATACAGAAATTAAATACCAGATAATCTTTAAGCTCCAAACACAAATTCAGTTATACCAGTCTCCCTATTTAGAATGCCTTATTTATCTCTCACTTACAAAACTTGCAGCTTCCCTAAAATAAGTGAGGTTGTAGCAAGGACAAAATTTACGGGCAAGTTACGCAAAGCTGAAATATTTCTAGGGCAATGTTTTATAGTCCCTTAGAGTTCCATACATAGTATTTTACTGTGCACTCAAAGAGCATTTATTTACACACGTGTCTGAGGTTTTCTGTCAGGTTTAAAGTTCAGACTTTTCTCAACTAATCTAATTTGTCCAAGACGGATGGCCTCAGTTTTTTCCTTTGGAAAACCAATGCTGTGACACTGTTTCCAATTCTTCCTCCAAAGCAAAACTTGGGTGTTGGCAGCTCCTCCAGAATTTCAAATCCTGCCAGACAGAAATTAAAATGCTTTTATTAGAAGGAAGTCATTTTATTCTCCTCTTGGATAACCCTTTGCAAACCATTCTTTATTTGCCTGGAAAACTTGCAAGTCAGTTACTCTGTAAGTTTATAGGACTGTATTGTTACACTGCACCACTGTTTTATACAGCTGAAACCCTTCCATGGATAATAAAAATCTTAGCTGGCTGACTCACATGAATTAATGGCAGAAAAGACGATAACTTGCCAGTAATTTTCGTTCTCCAGAAGGGACGGTTGTTTTAGAACCACACTGAGTTTCAAGCCTCACGCATGAGATTCAAGAGCTAACCAGCACGTAAAAAACACCCTTTCCAGTGGATCAGAAAGGTCGCTGACGAGGCGATACTAAAGGTCACAGTCACAGACTTGCCAGTTCCCCTAAATACGGGTAACAATGTTACCCCAATTTCAAAGCAATCAGATGGGTGAACCAGATCTGGTAATAAAAGACCCAAAAGAGAAAACTATCAGCCAGGTATAGAACCCCCTCCTTTTCCAGTGTCACTAGACTGAAATCCTCATCCCCCAAACTATAACAAAACCTGTCCTCCCTTGGGTCGTGGGCACTGTAATCCCTGAGGAAAACAGAGGGAAGACAGGCTGAAGCATTTACTAGTCACTTCACCTTGTCTAATCCTGATCTGAGAGAGGCAATATGTTAACACAGACATTAAAATTTACTCATGGCATCCCTAAACTACCGTAAGTTAGCAGATGGTTCTGTTCAACTGCTTACCTTCTCTGAACTCGTTCAACAGCTCCTCCTTGGTCCAGTTGCAAGATGTTATGAGGAAAAAGCCCTCTGGTTTCAATACACTGCAGAGAGATCTCACGTACTGCTTCCTCTTTCCCACCGCGTTATCAGGATTAAGGCTTATGGCATCAAAAGTCCCCTTGTCAATACAAATCTCAAATCCTGACAGCTCAGCTGATGGAGCCAAGAAGTCTTCTACCTAAACCAGAAGTCTACAACTGTGAAAACAATCTTCTACTCAGGAGTCAGGAGCTCCTGAATCTTTAATGCAAACCAATACTTTAAAATAAAAAGGCTCAAACCTGCCAATAGGTGTGCTTAGGAAAGGGTAACTCACAAGCTTTTCACACTTACAACGCTATGTCAGCTTCTTTCTTCTCTACGTATTACGTGATGATCTGTTTGCCGTAAAGCCCGTGTATATACCTATCCATCTAAAGCTCAAACTAACATACTTGGAGTTCATTCTTTAAATCATTGTTTGTACTTTGATCCCTGGTTTCCTAGGTGCTGCGTGCCAGGCACTGTACAAATACAGAAGACTAGGCTGCCTGCCACAAAGAGATTACAACTGACATACAAGAACAGAGACATCATACAGGTACGGAGCTGGGGGAGAAAACAGCATAGCAGAGAGCTCAGAATGAGAGACAGTCACAGAAAATGAGGATGGCTGAGGCTGGAGGGGACCTCTGGAAGTCATCTGGTCCTACACCCTGCTCCAGCAGGGCCTCTCAAACCTCCTGCTGCACAGCTACTGGTAGGGATTCTATCATTTACAGATTTCGTCTTCTATCTCAGATCTGAAATTCAGAATGAAGCAGCTACAATATAGAACTTGCCAAACGGCAAACCAGTATTCTGCTCCCTGTTAGAAGCGGGGAAATCTTTTTAGCCCTAATGACTGTTACAAACAGGAAAAAAAATAGACAAAAAATCTTCTTGTAAATATACAGATTTATTTGGTTGAGTTCTTTCACAAATGAATGTCAAAAGACATTAATACAGTACACTGAGCACATCTGAATATCAATTAAGTCCTTTAATTTTGGTTTCAACTGCTTTCTATTTCCTCAGTAAACTTGCTTTCAAAACTTACCTTTAATTTAATGTTAGGCATCCCTTCTTTCTCTCTTACTTTTTCTGAAAGTTGTATTGCAGAAGGAGAGTAATCAATCCCAGTGAGATCAGTGTAGCCAGACTTTGCCTACACAGAAGCAGAGAATCTTAATCAGTACGCTAGCAATTTTTTCATCCAACAAATGCATTCCCTATCTATAACCCATCTCATCGCTTCTCCTCTTAATGACAGAAAAAAACCCCGTTTACTAATTTTTATTCCTGTTACCATTACAAAAGCTAAATATCCAGGGGACTGAGCTGAAATAACTCCATTCTGCCTAATGCCTCATCAAAAGAGCTGTTGACGGAAAGCTGGTTTATGTCAACAAGTGGAAAACTGAGCCAAACTGTGAAAAGTAATACCCTGGAGGGGAATAGCCTCTCGTACCTGCACCAAAAGTAACCTAGAAACCAGGAATTTTCAGTGATGAGCACATGTGCCAATGCCAGATGCTTCAAAATAAGAAAACCTCGCTGACACTTACATAACATTTGAGATTGAGCAATTATTTGGTTTAAAACCCAAACAGTAAGAGCCAAAATATGTAATACATAATAATACAGATATCCAATGCAAAACCTTACATTTTTTTAATTATTCATGCTAATGTCTCTTTGAATGCAATTATTTGCACGCTACAATGTCTTTGCATCAGCGATTTTCAGGCAGGTTACGCCCACATAAAAGAGCATACAGAGACTTTCTGTTAATCTGACGTTGGAGTAGATAACGATAACCCAGTTCGGCAAACTCAGGCAGTGAGATCCTAGCATCCCTTCTGCAAAGCACGTGGGCACTCTGCATCACTTGGAGCTGGGCATGCGGGACGGGGCAGCGACACATTTTCAATCCGAAGCAGAAGCTGAAGCGACCAGATGTGGGCATCACATGTGTCAGTTGGTCTGGCCGGATCCAAACCTAACAGGAAGAGCTACAATCTTACGGCCAGCTGCAGGCAGAAGCAGCAGAGAGAGGGAGGAGGCTTGGGTTTGTTTTGGCTTTGAACAATACATGGACTTTAACTAGCATTAAGCAATTAGCTGCACATCTACTTGTTCCAAAGGCCGATACCTCGACAGAGAGGAAAACAACGAGGGGTTTTTTAAAATGGTCCTTCCTCCTTCCAGCAGCCCTTCAGCTGGTGTGAGATCAGTACTAGCCAGCTGTTCTTAATTGAGGACTAATTTCAGCTAAACACAAAGACCATGTTGTTCACATTTGATGAAGAACAGCGTATTGCTCAGGCTTCTGCCCACGTTCCTCCCCAGAGCAAACCAAGCTTCCTGAGATGCCTCTGCTGAAAACTTGGGGGTGGAAGAGTAGTTCCCACAACAGCTCCTCTGTTTGGAAAGGAAGAGCTTGAGTCACTTCAGGGAGTTCCCATTCACTCCTATAGTCTCTGGAGCAGAGAAGGAAAGTTTAAGGATAAACAACATTAAATGTTGCTAAACCTGTATGGCCTGACTACATATGGCCAGGAAAGGATCATTCACCCAAGAGCTAAACATGCCCGCGCTGCATCCTGCAACCGGACTCCTGTCCTGGAGGTGGTGTTTGTAAGCGCTATTCTGCCGCTTCTTGACAAAGCACATTAAATAGCAGAAAGGAGTTTGCAAGATGATCAGCATTGCCTCACGTTTAGGCTTCTGGGGCTGCCAGGTAGACACCCTCACTTGGGAGATGAATACCTTTCACTTCAGATAAGTTTTCCAATATTCTTGGCTCCCACAATACTCAGAAAAAAAAGAGAAGGTCAGAGCTCCATGTGGAAGCAACATTTCCCTAAAAGAGGGGGAATTTTTGGAAGGCAGAAGAATTAGGTCATCCACGCAGCCTACCAGAATTCTGAAGTTAGCAGGGGTAGGACCATGGTCCACCGCACATACAAAACCAGCAAGGGATCCCACTTATGTATCCAAGATCCCCAAAGGAGGCAGCAGGAAGAGAGGAAGCCTCCAGCAGCATTTCTCTTGGAGCTTACAGATGGGCAGATCCCTGCAGTGTGCACGTATAAGACATTTAGCAGCATGCTGGATATTTTGCCTCTAGCTGGGTAGTGGGGTCAGTTTACATCGGATACAGCAGTCTCTCTTGTTTTCACTTCATTTATTACCTCTTTGTAAGATGGCTAGTCTGCCTCTTTCTTATGCAATATTCCCTCCTGGAACTGACAACGTCTCACCTAGAACCAGCTGCATTTCAGAGTGATTTTCTTATTATACTCCCATTTACGATTCTTTACTGTTAATGACATGCCAGGGTCCAATATTCCCCAACAAATTGTACTCTACAGCTACCGTACCGCCTCCTGTTCTGAGCATCTGGTACGTACCCTCAAGTAGCTACCTTCTAGAGAGATACTACCGATGTCCCACGTGACTGAAGTCTGACTGCCTTTTTCAGTATTGCTGTTTCTATCATATTATCGAGGCAGAACTGTTCTACAGCAGCTGATGTGCTTGCCAAAAGAATCCTAATTTGATTTTCAAAGCCTAGCAGCTAACTCAAAAAAATTTCTTTTACATCAGCTAAGCAAGCGAGATCCTGAATTATTTAGAAACAATAAACAGGGCAATTTTTGAAGTCACTTTTCAAATGGGAACTGGACTAAAAATATCCTATTAAAGCAACCACAGTACTTTGAGGTGCTTAATGTAAGAGGGGAGGGTGTTCTTATGGCCGTTTAATAGTTTTTAAAAGCTAGCAGGCTGTTGTTTTCCCATTACAGAATTGAAATCAATTTCAGATTTCTAAGTGGTGCCAGTACAAAACTGAAGTCTAATAAAATAAGGTTTTTCTGTTGGATGTTTCAACAATGAAAAAGCTAGCGTTGCATTTAACAATCACCATTATTAGGTTTCAAAATTAATTTCTCTTAATGAGATGAGGAATTTCTACTTTTGATGATATGACTTCTCCTGTGCTGCAGCGTAGCAGCTAATCACCATAAGGCTTTAAACTCTTCTAAAATCAAAATCCATGTTAAAAAAAATCCATTCTAAACCTGACTTTGACTTCCATCCCTTTCAATTTCTACAGTAACTAATGGAGCCAATGGAGAATGTGTCACAACAGAAACCGCTACAGTATGATAGCTCCTTTCTTTACCAACTCTCCTGCATTCAATCAAAACTGGGAAAAAAATACCACAGCTGTATTTTTTATGTTATCACTGTATAACAACACTGTAACAGCTCAGACCACATCTGGTAAGGGGTTTCCATCCTGACAGAAATGGGTACTTCTTGAAAAGAAGTGTTAACAACTGTTTAAGTAATTTACAGAAAAAACTTGGGTTTAACCACTTTTTACATTGATAATGAGTATTACTGTCAGAAGTGAGCATGAAAAAAGGATCTAGTTTTGCACGTGAGAGTATTACTGTGTATTACTCAATTTCCTTACCTGGGAGTATTTTACCCAACAATGGGAAGAAAAGCATTTATAAATACACGAAAACAGAAAGGCGAAATTAAAATAAGGGATATTCAGGGTGACTGATTTAAAGAAATACCGTAAATTTCAAAATCTGAAGTACTAACAATCTGGGCAGTACCAAAAAACCAGAAGTTTGAGCATGTCTAGCAAAACCACAGATATTTCCTTTTAGTAGAACAACCCACACATTCTGTTGGTAGGTCTACTCTTTTAAAACTTCCTACCACCATTGCTGGTGCAAGGGGTTACACACCTAAGTCCCATAGGCTGCCTGGTGGCCACTTGCAATTATGCCTTGTCTTGGTGACAGGATGTACTTTAAGGCATATCAACAGCACTGAGTTAATTTCACTTATACTCTTAAATCAAATGAAAATATAAAACTTGATGCACAGTAACCAGTGTTCTGTTGATGGGAAAAAAACACAAAATAAGTTTTAATTTAGGTTGCTTGCTTTTTGCCTTTCACGTTGCGTTATAGCTTGCCACGGTTACTATTGTCACTTGCAAGAACTGTATTTAAACTACTGTGTTTGGAGTATTGATTCTGTACCAAAAGCACAAACTTTGCAATATACCAACCAATTCAATGAGTAAAACACCGTTTCCAGTTCCAATGTCAAGCACAGAGCTGTCAAGGGGAATCTTTTGTTTTTCCAACCATCTGATTATGCGAACCATGCTTTCTTCACCAAACCTACAAAAAACAAAGGCTCAGGTAATCAAGATAGCAAAAATGTACAAAAGACACAGCAAATTTATTTCATCAGTCCTCTCCCCAGCTTTTGCAAAGTGTCTTTTACTGAAGCACTTTGAACTGACATGCTTCATATTCCATGTTTGCTTTGTTTAAATTAAAATTAACCACATGACATTAAAATTCACCAAAACACCAACTCCGGGAGGTAAAGCCCTCCATATTTTAAAAAAGGCAGCAGCACCCACAACTTGCATAGTTAAACCTGAGCTCAGCGATAAAACGCACCTTTGTTAGTAACATACACCACAACTACCAGCTCACTTTCTGTGTAATGACAGTTGTCCAAGTGCAACTTAGAAATTTGCACTGCAAAATTGGGCCAGAGAAGAACTGGTGGCTTCAAGATTAAAATTCCCCATCATTTTGCCAACAGCCAGGACTATTCAGTGACCCACCAAATCGCTGGCTGTGTTTATGCAATGTCTACTTCAAAAACAGAATAAGAGAAACACTCCAATGGAGTTATTTTATTTACCAAATTTCCCCAACATCTCCAATGTCTTGAAAAGTCTGCAGTTCTCTTTCATATGCAGCATCCCAGCTAGACTCAGGAGGAAAAGACAGGATATTGTAATTAATACCAGAAAAGATTTAGATTAAAGAGCGAGGGGAAGAAAGGGTGGGAAAGCTGTATCTATGGAGCAGTACCACTGTATGTCCACGGTATCACAGAATCATAGAATGGTTTGGGTTGGAAGGGACCTTAAAGCTCACTGAGTTCCACCCCCTGCCCTGGGCAGGGACACCTCCCACCAGCCCAGGTTGCTCCAAGCCCCGTCCAACCTGGCCTTGAGCACTTCCAGGGATGGGGCAGCCACAGCTTCTCTGGGCAACCTGCCCCAGGGGCTCACCACCCTCACAGTAAAGAATTTCTTCCTCATATCTCATCTAAATCTCTCCTCTTCCAGTATGAAGCCATTACCCCTCGTACTATCACTATATGCCCTTGTAAAAAGTCCCTCTCCAGCTTTCCTGTAGGCACCCCCGATACTAGAAGGATCATCAAGTATCATCTAGATAAATAAACTACTCTAGAAGACGCCCGCCAGCCACCGAGCCGGCGATGCCCACGGC